ACACACACACATATACACACACACAGAATTTGATTTAGGTTTTGTATCAGAACTTCTGACTCATCTGTTAAGACAAACACTTTGGGTGAGTTAGGATTTGGCACAAAGCATAGATTGTTAACAATGAACCTGATGAAGCTAATTAGTGTTTTGGTAGGGTTCCATTGCCTGTGCAGAGTTGGGGAAGTTTTAGATCTAAGCCTGTATATAAAGGATCAGTTGATAGAGGATCTTGGCTGGACAAAATAACAAAGTAAAGGAGCCTTACAGGCACCTTGTTTAAAAGACTGAGCAGTGGTTTCATCTCCTCTGAGGCTCAGGCTGGGAGGAAGAGGCTTCCGTGGCTACATTAGGCAGAACTTTCTGAGCATGAACATGATAAGAACCACCACACAGGCTGAGCATGTGCTAAGGGTACAAAAAAGCAGGAGGAAAAATTGAAAGATTAGAAAGAATATTATGTATTTTTTAAAGTGTGAAAAGTAAAATAGAGCTTTATTAGACTTCCTTACACTTGCTGTATGGATTAGTATTTTTATTTTAAATCACATATGGAGCACCATGTAGTTGGGCCTTTCCTGGCAGTCTTAATCCTTTTCTAACTGGATCCCTAACTAACAACAGGTTGTCCCAAGTTATGCTCTCCACAACCCTAGTCTGCCATCACAGCATCTCCAGGGCCTGTTTGAAGAGGATGCTCAGGGAACCTGGGATTTAGCCCCCAAAGTGTCATTGCCTCTTCTTGTTCCACCCCCATCTCACCAGACTGGGAGTTCCAAAGACCGTCTGCAGCTGGACAGAGTTCCAAAGTCCATCTGCAGTTGTCAGCTTTCTGCCATAGACACATATCCTCCTTCTGCCCAATTTCCTTAAAGCACAGGAGCTGCAATTAGGTACTAATTTTCACAGCTGGGACATAGATGTAAGTAGTATCAGGACTTTCTTCTCTTGCAGGATCCCATGGGACTATGCTGTGTGCATAGTAGTTAAATAGACATGTCTGTTAGTGCAGTTTATTTTATTTATTTATTTATTTATTTATTTATTTATTTATTTATTTATTTTGAGACGGAGTCTCTCTCTGTAGCCCAGGCTGGGGTGCAATGGCGCGATCTCGGCTCACTGCAAGCTCCACCTCCCAGGTGCATACCATTCTCCTGCCTCAGCCTCCCGAGTAGCTGGGATTACAAGTGCCCACCACCACGCCCGGCTAATTTTTTTTTTTTTTTTGTATTTTTAGTAGAGACGGGGTTTCACCATGTTAGCCAGGATGGTTTCAATCTCCTGACCTCGTGATCCGCCCACCTCAGCCTCCCAAAGTGCTGGGATTACAGGTGTGAGCCACTGCGCCCGGCCAGTGAAGTTTATTTTTTATTAATCAGCTCAAAATAAGCTATATAAACCTTTAGGTTTTGGGTTTTATAACTTTAGGTTTATAAAGCTTATATTGAGCTAAATGTTTATATTGAACTAAAGGTTTATATTGCAGCAACAATGACTGTGTTCAGAAAAGGAATAGCTAAATGTTTAGTTTCTCTTGGAGAGCTGAGTTTCAGAAATTGTATAAAGCAACACCTTCACTTTACCAATGAGAAGCTGACATCTAGAGAAAAGAACTAATTTATTTACCTCTTCCCTCCCCAAGAGAGTACCAAAATTAATTTATACATTCAGGCTGTTGAGACTTTCAGCAGCTTGACTGGTCACCCAAAGACCGATGCTTTGAAGTGAAAGATTTGGGTAAGATGAAAAAGCCTAGGAGTGAAGAAATCTATGTCCTGGTCCTATTCTGCAGATCTTCTAACTTTCATTTAAATGGTTATTTAACTTTCCTGGGTCTCGTGCATGACATGAGGATTGCATTTGATGCAGCTGAGGTCTCTGTTCCTGCAGTTCCATGAGGCAGTATCTCTAGGTGTTGGAGTCACCTCCTAGGCTCAGGTTGCCCTGGATCTTGAGGCTTGCATCTTCTAGAACAGCAAGCAGCAGAGCTCTGCTCATTCAGACAGGCCAGAGGCAGGAATCTCTGCCCCATAAGCTTAGATACAGGAAATGGGGAGGGAGGTGGTGGTTCACGGAGATGTTCATATCTATGTAGGTACCAATTGTTCCCAGGCACATATGAAAGTCTGTTAATGAAAATGATGTATTTTAAAGTTTGATTTGGAGCGTTACTAGTTCTAAAAATGTAAGAGTAAAGAGTAGTAGTTCTAAAAATGTAAAAGCTGGGTAGTGAAGAGGAAAATGGGAGGATAACATGTGTGGTCTCCATTTCAGTTTAGTACTGTCTCTGTCTTGTAGATGGAAGTCAACTTCACTAAGAACCATGAAGATACAAACCAAACCTACAACCTTATGGGGCTGCAGGCTTTTACAGAGTATGTCGTAGCTCTGCGATGTGCGGTCAAGGAGTCAAAGTTCTGGAGTGACTGGAGCCAAGAAAAAATGGGAATGACTGAGGAAGAAGGCAAGCTACTCCCTGCGATTCCCTTCCTGTCTGCTCTGGTGTAGGGCTGCTTTGGGTTAGACTTGGTGGGGTTTGTCAAGTGTCCTGGTTGGGAATCATGGAATCTCATGACCCCAGGGGCTCCCTGTACCCTCCAAGAGTGAGCCTGCACAACTTTGTGCCTCAAAGGCAAAGGATCACATTTTAATACTCAAGAGATTCTTGTACTATACATGAAAGGGTATCATATCATTTGTTTTGTTTTGTTTTTGAGATAGACTCTCGCTCTGTCACCCAGGATGGAGTGCAGTGGTGTGATCTCGGCTCACTGCCACCACCACCTCCCGGGTTCAAGAAATTCTTGTGCCTCAGACTCCCAAGTAGCTGGGATTACAGGGGCCCACCACCACACCCGGCTAATTTTTGTATTTTTTGTAGAGACGTGCTATCACCATGTTGGCCAGGCTAGTCTTGAACTCCTGACCTCAGGTGATCCGCCCAGCTTGGCCTCCTAAAGTGCTGGGATTACAGGCATGAGCCACTGCGCCCCACCAGTATCATATCATTTGAAGGTATCCTGTGATAAATTAAAGATATATATTGTGAACCTTGGAGCTACTACTCAAAATAAAGGTGTAACTAATACAAAAAAAAAAAAAAAATCAAATCTTTAATGACAGTGAGGAAAGGAAAGAGACGTGGATTGCTGGCTGATCAAGCGTTTACTAAGTGTCAGTATGGTCATTAAGAGCAACACTTCCCGTCAGTGGGCTTGGCTTAAATCCCAAGCCAGGTATCTTTGGGCAAGATACCTAATCTCTCAGTCCATTCTCAGAAGTTTCCTCACATTTGTTCCCCTTTTCTATATTGAAATATAATATGTAAGTTAAGTTTATAGTAGTACCTACTTTTTTAGCATTATTTTAAAGATTAAATGAAATAATGTGTTTAGCCCATAGTAGATACTCACTAACTGCTAGATCTCCTATTCTTATTATTTATCCTACTATTATTATTTTTAATCCTCCTAAAAGCACAATAAAATATGTAGAGTCATTCCCATTTTGGAAATGAGGAAACTGAGTTTCAGAGACGCTAATAAATGGCTCAGGGTCACTCAGCATGTGTTACTTTTCTCAAGAGTCTTGCCCAGAGTCTGACCCTCAGTAGGTGATCAATAAATGTGTGATGAATGTATCAGTTTTCTATTGCTGCTGGAACAACACAAATTTAGTGGCTTAATGCAACACAAATGTATTCTTTCATAGCTCTGGAAGTCAGATGTCCAAAATGAGTTTCACTGGGCTAAAGTAAAGATGTCAGCAGGGTTGTTTCCTTCTGAGACTCTGAGTGGAGAATCTGTTTCCTTGCCTTTTCCAGCTTCTAGTGGCTGCCTGTATTCTTTGGCTTGTGGTCCTTCCTCCATCTATAAAACTTATCCCCCCATCATCACATCACCTTTCCCCGCTCTTGTGTGTCAGACCTCTCTGCCTCCCTCTTATAAGGACTTTTGTGATCACAGTTAGGACCCACCTGGCTAATCCAAGATAATGTCCCCATCTCAAGATCCTTAACTTAATCACATCTGCAAAGTGCCTTTTACCATATAAGGAAACATTTACACGTTCCAGGGATTTGGACGAGATATTTTGGGGCCATTTTTCAGCCTAACACAGTAAATGAATGATTAATTGGATACACACCCAGTGATGGCCACACTTCTTCTTCTGAATTATGGACAAGAAATTTTAAAATGCCCACCCTTCTAACCTTCCTCTGAGGCTTTAACCTTATTTATTTATAAGGGATGTGAGTTTTAGAATATGAATTCCCCCATTGCCATGATTTCAGGCCTCATGATTTCAGGTGGTTTAGGGATACCCATATTGTAATAGAAAATGAGATTTCAGTCTCATACCCAAGTTGCAGACTAGTCTCAGATAACATCTGGGGTCAACTTCTGTGCTACCTCATCCACACAATAATGATTTGTTCCTTTGGATCCCGGTTGAGTTTCCAGTATTAACACTAGTATTAACAGATGTTTGGTGCATTCACCCCTATGGTCAGATGTCTGGAACCAATCTGATGCCTTCTGAATGTTGTGTTCTGCACCAGAGATGTTCATGCAGTATCATTCAGCAAATAGCTCTCTTCCTTTGCCTCACTCTTCAGCAGGCAAGCTGATGATTAAGTGCTCCCTTGGGGGCCGTTGTGTTTTACCTAGCTCTTCCCCTGCCATGGCTGTCACTCTTCTTTCTAGTGACCTCCTGGTGCCATCGTGGCTCAGAGTCTCAAGCTCCTCACAGACCAGCCAGTCCCTTGTGTCAGTTTTCTCAGCTTGTTTTGCTGCCAAAAACAAGATTTACTATTTCATCTGGTTTATTAGTTCAGCTAACTTGATTTAATTAGCAAACACCAGATGCTGGTGTTACCTATGCCTTTTGCTAATTAAACCAAATCAACACTTATTTATCCAAGTCACCATTAGAGAACTTTTGCTTTTGTCCTTCTTCCTTTTTTCAGGATCCCAGAAGAAACTGATTAAAATGCACCCTCCCTGTCCCCAGCAAATCCTCATTGGTTGTTTTCAAATTTATAAACCACGTGTTTTCCTATTTCAATGAAATGCCACTTGTTTAATGCATACCACTTCAAACCTTTCTAATTGTTTGAAAACATGTATTCTAAGTTGAATGTGAAGCACTGACTATTTTCTTTTGGATTTCAATATATTGATTATTAAAGTTATTTACCTATATTTAGACAATCAACTCACTACATGATACAGATATAATTTGATGCAAATCCTGGCATTATTTCTTAAAAACTTGTGATATCGAATACCTGCTTAATTTCTCTATGCTTCAGAAATGACAGGACTGTGAGCATTAAATGAGAAAATTCACAGAAACTGACACTTGCTAAGAGTTAGCTTTTCTTATTGTTGTTCTTCAGCAGGGGTACCTGCATATGTCTAACTGGTGGTTGCTGTGGGGATACCCATATTGTAATAGAAATAGTATAGCATCAGTTGTTGCTGTATCAATCCAGAGAATTGATGCCTTTGAATACATAGATATTTTGGTTGATTTGGAAAATTTTAATTTTGTTTTTTTTTTTCAGAGTCCTTACTTTTCCCCCTCTGATTAAACTGAAAATCCATTATCAATTTATGGTTAATGGAAAGCTGGCTATAATAACCATAGAAGACTTACATGCTAGTGAGGCAGCGGTTTCACTAACAGTTGCATCTGTGGGAAGTCTATACTGAGAAGACTGTTTCTCTTTGGACCATATTTGCAGGAAATAGTGACCTCGATGAAAGAAGAAAATATCCATTTAAACTCATTTATCATTACCATCTATGAAAACAAATGACTGCCTATGGGATTTTTTTTTTTTTTTTTTTTTTTTTTGAGATAGGGTCTTACTGTGTCACCCAGTCTGAAATGTAGTGGTGAGACCTCAGCTCACTGCAGCCTCCACCTCCCAGGCTCAAGTGATCCTCCCACCTCAACTTCCCGAGTAGCTGGGACTGTAGGCGTGTGCCACCATGCCC